GTCTGGAGCTGAGCACCCTCCCACCCGCCTGCAGTGGTGGAGCTGGGTGAACTCACCTGCTGGAAGGAAGCTTCGATCAGGTTGGAAGGAAACATGTTCCTGTAAGAGAGCAATTGCACAGGGGTCACGGGGCATCGGGGGCACCCGGGGAGCAGCCTGGGCAGCACCTCTGCTGGGCACAAGCCCCAGAGGAGGACAGTGCAGCCAACACTACTTTGATGTCCTCTGTGCAAGCTGAGGGCCAAGACAGGCTGAAAGGTGCACAAAGAGCAGGCCTGCGAACCACACGTCCCCTGGGCTCACAGAAGCCAGAGGCTGGTGGACATCTGCCACCTCCAGCCCCTGCTCAGCGTGGGACCTCCTGCAGAGCTGGAGCTGGACGTTCAGAGCCTCGTCCCGTGGGCTGGACACCTCCAGAAATGGAGATTCTGCCCCAGCCCATGGGTCTGTGCTGCGCCCACCCCCCAGCTACTCCTCATCCACTGCTTAAATCCAGCCCTGGACTGCACCCACCCTCCAGCTACTCCTCATCCACTGCTTAAATCCAGCCCTGGAGCAACTCCTGCTTGCTTTTGCCTGGCCAAGCCCAAGGAGATGCAGGGTTTGGCATCTCACAGCTGGGGCTGCAGAGGGACACTCAGAGGACACAGAGGGTTCCCCGCTGAGCTTAGCAGGGAATCTCAGTCTGCCTGTTGTCTGCTGCCACACCTCTCCTTGCTCTGAGGGTGGCTCTGGGCAGGGGGCAATAGGGGTGACCAAGTGGCCAGAGGGACATCGTGGGGAGAACCAACCCCCACGCCGCTGGGCTGGGAGGCTCCGTGCCTGGGCAGCCTGGGCACAGCTCTCCTGTTCCCTCAGGAGCTCAGCACCAAGCAGGAGCTCAGCGTCCTGGGGGAAGATCTTGTCTGTGAGGCCCAGTCCTGACCCCGTGAGGTACCTGATCAGGTCCAGCAGCGCGTCGGCAGAGCTGAGCACCACCTTCCCCCCCGAGGAGTCATCCTTCTGGGCGGCTGCTCCGGGGTGGATGCTGACCACCAGGATGATCCCCACGGCCACTGCCATGAACGTTGTCCAAAGGTAGTAGGTGATGGTGATCACCCCCATCTTCCCACAGGCCCTGGAGTCCATGGTGGCCAGGCCAGACATGAGGCTGCAGCAGAAAGGTCGTGGGCAGTGTCTGCTCCCAACCTGCACAAGGCTCAGCCCGTGGGCAGAACCCCCGAGGTGGGAGAAGTTGCCTGAGGTGTTTTTGTAACTGGTCCTGAAGGGCCTCACAGAGCTCCTGCAGGTCCCTGTGCCTGTGCCCACAGGATCTGTGGCAGCCCAGGCTGAGCTGGGCAGGGCACCAGACACTCCTCTGAGAACCTGTTCAAGGTCTGGCCATGTTTCTGTTTTCTCCAAGGGATGAGGAGGAAATATTCTCACTGGATGGTGGTGGTGAGTAACTGATGCTGCTCCTTTGGTTTTGTGTGGTGCAAGGATGTCTTTTGTGTTGGGTTTGTGCCTGGGGGGGTTGGTGGGGGGTGAGGACAGGGCGTAGGAGAGGGGGGGATGAAGCTACTGGGGTGGCCACTGTAGAAGCCTTGAGAAGCTCCCCTGGCTCCAAGCTGGACCCACCTCTGACCCAGGCTGAGCCAATCAAAGCCTCTGCAACGACATATTTAAGAGGGGAAAAACTGTTGGGTGGGTTTGTTTTGGGGGTTCTTTTGCTTGAGAGAGGAGTGGGACAGAGAGAAAACCACGTGGCCACCCAGGTCTGTGGGGAAAGGGGGAGCAGCCACTCCCCAGTGCCCTGTGGAGAGGGGTCAGGCTGAGCCCATGCAGCACCCTGAGGTGGAGCAGAGTCCCTTCTGCAGCCCATGGAGGACCCTGCCAGGGCAGGTGGCTGCTCCTGAAGGAGGAACAGTCCATCACTGGGGGGGCAGCAGCCCGCAGAGGTGCCCACACTGGCAGGGGAAGGCTGTGGGGGAATGGTTGCTCTAGAGCTGCCAGGCTGCACCAGGGGGGCACTGGGGGGAGTTTGCCCATGAGGAGGAGGGAGCAGCAGAAACAACATGGGACAAATTGAGCACAACCCCCATTCCCTGCCCAGGAAAGGCATTAGCAAGGTTTAGAAATGCCTGGTTGGGACAGACCCCACTGCCCCAGGCAGAGAGCTGCTGGCTCAGCCTTTATGCACTCATAAGCTTTCCTAAGAAGTAGCCCATAAGCTACTTTTAAACAAAACTAGACTAAAAATAGAGGAAGTATTCCAGGCTGCACCTGCAGGGAGGACTGGGGAGGACTGGGGGAGGACTGGGGAGGACTGGGGAGGACTGGCTGGGCGGGGGGGCCGCACCTGGGGACGG